AACTTTTAATCAAGCGCCTTAAGAGGACATGAATTGAATTGAATGATGGCATTAAGATCAGAAGCAAATTCTGGAGACAGGATTTGGCCAGACATGCATAGATTCTGTCATGGAGGCAGGTGGAGGAGATGCTGGAGATGCTCTGGAGCTGAAAGCTAGAGAATGACCGAGAGAAGGGATGGATTTCAGAGGAATGATGGGTTTGGAGACATATGATGGTGAATTACAGGAGATTGGAAAGGAGGGGAAACAAAGCTTTTGGGTTACCTTTATTGGACCAGATGAAACCAGAAAAGTAGCAGGATTTAGTTTGAATATATATTAGCACAAAAATACTGAGGTCAGATAAACTGGATGATGATGCAGATAAAACGCACTAGTCCAGTTGTTGATTGAAAAATATTCGGTTTAAAGTCTTATGCTTTTCTGAATGTAAAAACAATCAGTTAGAAGGTTTTTTTGAACACTTGGTTAAACAAAAATTCCTCTTCTGCAGAAATAAAAATGTTTTTTCTGCCCAGGGGGAAACTCTAACTGCTGATTACCGCGCCCGGTCCACCAGAACCACCCCCATCAATCTCACCAACCACTCCTACTTCAACTTAGCTGGGCAGGTAAGAGCTCATTACCTCACATGATAAAGATCACCTGGTAAAAGTATTCACACCCCTGAACACAGGAAACCCACAAGCGTTCGATTATAATTAGATGAAGCAGAAAACTGATTGTGAAGTTAAAAAGATTTTGACCCATTTTAGGCCTTGAATTCAATTTGTTCACTGATGTTCTGAATTGCGAAACCCTATTCTAGAATTATGAAATCAATAAAAATAATAACTAAGATTTTTTTGGAATGATCTGAAAAGTGTTGTTCATGTAGCAAATTTAGGTGATCTCAAGCTAGTTTGCAAAGAATGGACAAATAGGTTTGGAAAGCTGGATGCAGATTGATCCTAAATGCAAATATAAATGCACACCACACTTTTCAGATCATTCCAAAAAAATCTTAGTTATTATTTTTATTGATTTCATAATTCTAGAACAGGGTTTCAAAATTCAGAACATCAGTGAACAAATTGAATTCAAGGCCTAAAATGGGTCAAAAACTTTCTAACTTCACAATCAGTTTTCTGCTTC